GCGATTAGACAAAATGCGGAGAAAAAAGATTCTACCATGCACGGTATCTACCATGCATGTATCAGCCACTCGTGCATGCATGTATTTACTGCTATGCTTAGGGTGTGTTTGGTTGAGGTCATGGGCTGAAATGCAATGGGTCCGTTCCGTTTCTGGGCCTGATTCCTCTGTTTGGTACTCTCTCCGTCCCAAAATTTTGTCTTAGATTTGTTCAAGTACGAATGTACCAAGTTACGTTTTAGTATTAGGTACATCTGTATCTAGACAAATTTAAGACAAGAATTTTGGGACGGAGGAAGTAGTAGCAAAGAATTGGAACCTACCCATTCCCCCGAACGGAATATTCGCTTGAGATCCGGAATGTGCTCGTACCTCCGATTTGGAGGAATCAAGCGGAACGCCTCGCATCTCACCCATCCCCCACGACTCCCTCGTCTTCGAACACAATCCCAGCGCCGCCACCCCGTCTCGATCTGCGCCCCAGCTTCTCTCCCTCTCGGGCGCCGCCTCTCCTCGCCTCTCTATCTCTGGCGATGCCTCTCCGTCGCCTATCGGGGCTCTGCTCGTCCCTTCGGCCTCCTTGCCCATGCTCCATGCCGGGCCGCTGCGGACCTCCGCGAGCTGAAGCTGGAACACAACGTGCGGTTGCATCTCGCAAGCCATGTCCCTCGATGGCGAATTCGTGGTGCTGGCCAGCGATTGCAAGCTCCGGCTGCAGTGCCCGTCCCTCTACCAGGTGCCACAGCTGGGCAAGCAGCGGCAAGAGGCGACAACTATGACTTGATTCATTCGTAGCTATCACAACTAGCTTGATTTGGGAACCATTTATGGGTGGATGCCTTGTATTTTACTAATCACACCATCTTTGGTAGCTTTTCCTAATCACAGCAAGCTCAATTTCTAGTAATTGACATGTATTTTGAGTTTTTGGCACATCTTTTAATTGACAATTTTTTTACATGTAAATGGATGACTTGTATTTTGACGGATTTTGCACATGTAGATACTTGTACTTTTTATTATATGTGTCTTGTTTGTATTTGATGCGAGTCAATATATTTGAGTGATGAGATGAATAAATTCATTCCGTTCCATCCCATAAACCAAACATCAAAATGTAACCATTCCATTCCTATGAATTGCTCGTACCAAACACAAGGACGGAACCGACCCATTCCAATGGAATGGAACCATGCCATTACATTCAACTTCGTTCTTGAACCAAACACACCCTTAGTTCATCTGAATCTGTGGCCCTCAGTTTCAGTAGTTAATGTCATGTCAATCAGTCCCCTTTTTGCATCTGCACATAATTTTTCTCTCTCCCCAAAGAAACGATGCACTTGCTGGCAAAATTTCGTCTTTTGACCCTTTGAAAAAAAATCGGGATTTGATCCTTTCGCTACCGCCAGGGGAGCTGGCGGTAGGGTTATACAGCCTACCGCCAGGGACCCTGGCGATAGGGTGCGACAGAGGGGGACGGCCGCCGTCTCCGCGTGCTGACGTGGACTAGCACCCTACCGCTACCCTACCGCCAGCTCCCCTGGCGGTAGGATGTGCTAGGGTTTTTGCCTCAAAACCTTCTGTAATGAAAAATGTGATCGCCCTGGCGGTAGGGTCACCCTACCGCCATAGGGGCTGGCGGTAGGCTATCTGATCCTACCGCCAGGGTCCTTGGCGGTAGGGTCTTGCCTATATCCAAGTTCAATTTCTTTTTTCTTTTTAAAAACAACAGATCTCAAACAATGATATAGAGTCAAAAACAGCAATGATATAGAGTCAAAATAACGCATCTCAAACAACAACTAAACTTGGGCATCACATATGGATTTTCACATAAACTTGTGCATAATAAGCAAACGAAGTTCAACTACTTAGTTCCACATAGCAAACGGAGTTTCACAAATATCAAGCACATAGTTCAAATAGCAAACACATAGTTTCACAAACACTAGACTTTTCAACTACAGCCAAGTATCGAATATCAGAATTTAATTCGGCCTTCCCCTCTTGTTCTTGGAGGCACGGTCCTCGTTCCTATTTGAACGAGTCTCTTCAGTGTTCTTCTTGGTCCGTCGAGGAACCGGTCTCTGGAAAGGGTCCAGACTCAGCAAACCCTTCTTCTTCGGATTCCTCTTCTGCAGCTGAGATGGTTGAGATGATTGAGTTGTTGGAGGTCCGTAATCTTCATCGTACTCCTCCTCACCATCGCTCTCATTCTCCTCTTCCTCATGATAGGCCTCCTCCTCCTCTCCTTCATTTGTGGCCTCCTCCTCCTCATCCTCCTCCTCAACCAACCTGGACGACGAGGGACCATGGCTCGATGAGGCGATATGACCCTGTGTGGCTCCGGGATGATAAGCTTCAACCGACCCAGCTCCAGCACATCCAAGCAGGCCTACCAGCTTGCGACAATGCTTCACGAACTTCTGCAGTTACAAAGAAACAAGGGCATAATAAGTATACGGTTTATGATTGCAAGTGAACAAGATGCATCTGTTCCGAGGAGGCTGAAATTGTACCTTCATCGTCCCCTCATTTTGTTCTCAGATTGTACGCTCCCGGGGGCATCACCTAGTGCATCTGAGGCTTCAAAGATGCATCTGTTTAACTCACCAGACTGCAACGGCATAAGTCAGTCACAATGACGAATACAATAATTTAAATACAACCGCCGGTTCAAACTTACAACTGTGTTGATGGGGGGGGGTGCAAACTCCCTAAATCCACTTTGCATGTCTCTGATGCAGGTCTGCTAGGCCTCTTCCTCGGGGTCATCCCTCTCCAGCTCCGCGATGTCTTCCGCCGTCCACCGAGGCCTGAGACAAAGACGGTGCTTCTGGCCATCATCGTACCACTTCATGTGTCGCTCCAAGTAAGCATCCCAGTAAGTCACTTTCCTCTCCCCGTCTTTCCGGTACCTCCGTCGATTCCACTCCGTCACATGAGTTTTATGTTCCTCTCCCCAGTCTGTGATCGACTGATTCTTCTGCCAACTCATCCTGCAAGGCATTAGCAACAAGAAACATCATAATAAAGTCATCACGCAATGAAATCATGGGCACGAAGAACAAAGCACTCACATGTGGAGCGCGTGGCCGCCAGTATCGGTGGGCGGGCCCGGTGGGGTATGCTGATACACCCCAAACTGCGTGGCCATGCGATGTGGCAAGTGCCACTCGACGCCGTACACATAGATCATGGGCACGATGCACCGCCATAGACCATGGTCCTCATCGCACATCATGTTCAGATCAAAGTCCCACTCTCGGTCATGATATGGCCACTAGTTTACCTATTACTTATACGTTGGTAAGTTCCCACTCTCGGTCCAAAGTGGAATCAAAGAGAAAGGTGTTGAGCGAGTTCATATACCTGCCAATGCGTCAAAGCGTCCAACTCGTTGGTGTAGGTCTTGTACGAAGTCTTGTTTAGGCCCGTGTAGAGTTTGACAACATCCCACTCGTAAGCTAGCTGGGGTTTCGAGCAGCGTCGCCGTCCTCACTATATGCAACCCATGGGCGTCTTGGCAGCTTCTCCGGATGCCCCACCGGCAGCCTCTCCCACATCCAAATGGAGAGGCCCAGACAAAGCCACCCATATTGGACTTGTCTCCCGTCCTCTGGGTTGCGTCGTCAAGCTGCAAAACATCAAATGAGGATCAGATATAAAAAATGGCATGGACATACTTTCGTAGGTAGGAAATTAGATACTCTCTTACCGAACGATATAGGTAGGCGAGAGATGCGGTCCCCCAACTGTACCCTGCATCCCAGCCGGCTAGGAAGAACAGATACGACCAGTTGGCAGAGTTCCCGGATCCGTCTGGAAACACGACCTCCATGAGAAGATACCACAAGTAGGCCCTCGCGTACCACTCCACAGTCGCCTCATCGGTGTCTTGGGGGCATGTCTTTCGGTGCTCTGAGAGCCAGGGCAACGGCACACCGGATGTACGGTTACCTTTAGCCTCAGGGCAGTCGCCGATGAGGGTGGTAACCCTCTGTTGCCAGTTGGTCCTCTCCACTCTCCCGATCAGTGCATGACCCTC